ACATACATACATACATACATACATACATACATACATACATACATACATACATACATACATACATACATACATACATACATACATACATACATACATACATACATACATACATACATACATACATACATACATACATACATACATACATACATACATACATACATACATACATACATACATACATACATACATACATACATACATACATACATACATACATACATACATACATACATACATACATACATACATACATACATACATACATACATACATACATACATACATACATACATACATACATACATACATACATACATACATACATACATACATACATACATACATACATACATACATACATACATACATACATACATACATACATACATACATACATACATACATACATACATACATACATACATACATACATACATACATACATACATACATACATACATACATACATACATACATACATACATACATACATACATACATACATACATACATACATACATACATACATACATACATACATACATACATACATACATACATACATACATACATACATACATACATACATACATACATACATACATACATACATACATACATACATACATACATACATACATACATACATACATACATACATACATACATACATACATACATACATACATACATACATACATACATACATACATACATACATACATACATACATACATACATACATACATACATACATACATACATACATACATACATACATACATACATACATACATACATACATACATACATACATACATACATACATACATACATACATACATACATACATACATACATACATATACATACATACATACATACATACATACATACATACATACATACATACATACATACATACATACATACATACATACATACATACATACATACATACATACATACATACATACATACATACATACATACATACATACATACATACATACATACATACATACATACATACATACATACATACATACATACATACATACATACATACATACATACATACATACATACATACATACATACATACATACATACATACATACATACATACATACATACATACATACATACATACATACATACATACATACATACATACATACATACATACATACATACATACATACATACATACATACATACATACATACATACATACATACATACATACATACATACATACATACATACATACATACATACATACATACATACATACATACATACATACATACATACATACATACATACATACATACATACATACATACATACATACATACATACATACATACATACATACATACATACATACATACATACATACATACATACATACATACATACATACATACATACATACATACATACATACATACATACATACATACATACATACATACATACATACATACATACATACATACATACATACATACATACATACATACATACATACATACATACATACATACATACATACATACATACATACATACATACATACATACATACATACATACATACATACATACATACATACATACATACATACATACATACATACATACATACATACATACATACATACATACATACATACATACATACATACATACATACATACATACATACATACATACATACATACATACATACATACATACATACATACATACATACATACATACATACATACATACATACATACATACATACATACATACATACATACATACATACATACATACATACATACATACATACATACATACATACATACATACATACATACATACATACATACATACATACATACATACATACATACATACATAATTTTCCTTATATTTCTTAGTCTATATCTAAACAAATAAATATCTCAAAATCCTCAGTTATGCGTATTTCATATAACAACCATCACAATTACAGCTTCAATCCGGAACCTAAATATCTCGTAAACCATTAATATAATATTTTTCCTTAATCTGAACTATTTAGTAATAACCGTTGTCAAATAATATTAAAAAAAGACACTCACTAAGGTGTGGCTTATATACGCTAATTACGAAAAATTTAAACAGAATTACATTTTGACTGATAGCAGCCCAAGAGTCTAAAAAACTGGAACCACTCAATTGGAAATTGATGTTCTTCACTCTAAAACGACCCTTAATAGCTGTATCAAGGACCTAGGTGTACAGTAAATGGCTTTTGGAGACATTTGATTTGTTCTATAGCCCTATAAAATTTTACCGAGAATCATCCAGCTCTTTTTTTAAGTAAAGTCATACTGAAATTTTTTAAAAGCCTGGCAATAACGTAGACTGTCGATTTCAAGCAAAGAAGTATTTTTATTCGCTATAAACGTTCATTGAAAGATTCGATAATATTCAATCTTCGCTTAAATTTTGAAACACGAAGTACTATTGTTGGCTAGACGAGTTCGTTGTTTTGATCTAAAAAGAACTGGCTTTCGTGTAATGATAGGCGTAGCGAATGAACGCATGCCTTTTATGGCAAACAGCCCGCCAAAATGTTCTTAGTTTGGCAGATAAGTCGCGTATTCCTCGTTAAGTTACCTACCAGGCGCAGTACGTTAGATTCTCGAGATATAATAAAATATATAGTCTTAGCCCTTTGCATTCAGCCGTATAATTTTGCTAGAGACAACTGCTGTCGGTATCTGCAACTGGTGTTATTTTCGAATGCAGGATTTAACAATTTTATTTTTTTTACACAGCATCCGTCACGAGTAAATAACGTATACATATGATCTATTCAACAGTTATTTTTTGTTCTGCTGAATTAATATGTTTATCATATCTACAGCCGAACATCTATTCAAGAGTCGTTTTTTGTTCTGCCGAACTAAATATGTTTATCATATCTACGAACGAACATACAGATATACTGCCATTGTTCTGCGAAAAAACATTAAAATTTGGCCAAAAAGGAAATAATGCGCCCGTAATAAGATCAATGATAAATAAATAATAACCTTTGAAGAGTTTTCTGTGGCATTGTAAACAATCGTGATACAACCGACTCTCCGTTCGGATCGAGTGTCTCCTGGTGTAACTGGGTAAATATAAATCGCGTCCATCCCTGAATTAATTGCCTGCAACCTAAAAGGATACACACAATGACAAACAAAATTATAACACGAGCATAAAATTAATTAGACTCGATAACTAACCTACTAGAACAGCCGAGTGCTTCGATTCGATTAAAAGAATGCAAGGATAGATAGGCAAGTCGCATTATTGCAACGGACTATTTTTGATGAGAGGATGTGTCATTGGCATATTTATTACGTAGCAATGTTATATATCACAGAAATGCTGTTATCGTATTTTTTATTTGTTTGAAGTCAATGTGCACCTATAGGTACTATAAAAAAGAATATTTTGTTAACTATCGCTTTTTCAAATGACTTGCTTTTTAAATTTGATTTTTGTGCAATCGGATAGAGTTGTCTTATATGATGCTTATGATATTGTTTGGATGAAGTCGGTTCGGTACTTTTCCCATATATGTCCTAACACTTTTGATACGAATGGTGGGTTAAACGTTTTGCATAGCTGGCTTTCAGCGGTTCCTTCTACGTAAAAATTTAGTACGGCAGTTCAGCGTTGTTTTAAAAACCTGGCACAATAAGGGAGTCTATATTAGCAATCTAACGAAACCGCTTAAGAGAGATATTACTATATATGTCTCCGTTGTTAGTGCCGTTCGGATTTTTTGACAAAGAAATGAAACGTGGCTATGCCCACATTCGAACCGAGGATGCTTCGGCGTTCTTTCAGTTAACGGGCAAACACTTCTTTACTGTATTATTGTAGGGATAGTACAGTGGGAGGAAACTCTAAAGATGTTGTACTTTTTGCAGTTGATTGTAAATGACGCTGAAGAACCGTAGAAATATCTGTGCAGTCGATTGCAACTTGCTTGGTTTGCCACGATAAACTGGCTTCTTACCACAATGTTTTATTTGATGTGAGGATCCGAAAGTGCTTCGGAGTAACTCAGCACAGCAGCGACGGGACTGACTAGGTTTGGAACTGCTTCTGCATAGTAACCAAGAGCTAGTCTGTATGAATGTTAGTTGAACGCCGCGTATATGTGTTAACATTTTTTTCTATTGCGCATAAAAGTATTTTAATTACACGCTCGGTATTTTGTAGTCAATGTAATGTCCACACCTACGTCTGTGGTAAAAAATTGCCAAACATATGGCGAACCCCAGAGGCAAAATCTGGTTTAAAATAATAAAAGCATTCTTTAAAAAACATCTGCCAATTTGCACCCAATTTGCACTGGTGTTTAAAAAAATAAGAGTAATTGAAATTGCGAAGTTCTGGCGATTAGTTTCAAATCTATTGAAGCTCTGATTCGTCAGTTCAATCACAGGGGCCTTCATGAAAGTATTAATGCAACATTGGCAAAGCTTACCAGTCGTTCGGTCTTCATTGGACAGAAGTCCTAAGGCGCTGACCTCTGGAATAGTACGAAAGGCCCGTAGGAAATTGCTGGCCTGACAGGGCATGCCCTGGGCATTTTCTAACATATGGAATAAATAGGCCAGTTCGCAGGAGAGGCAGAATTCGCGGTCGCATGAATGATTGGTTAGCATAACTCGGAGTGGTTCCAGAAAATAGAACACCTAAGATATAGAACGGTCGGAAAGCGGAATATACATTAACATTGTTCAATCAAAAAATAAAGAGCTGCATGTTACCTTGTCCATGCAGCATTTTAACATGCCTAAGCTAAAAACAAAATGTGGTGTTAAAAAGTTAGGTACAGACCGTTTCGGATATAACGCCTAAAGATTGCTCTGGACTAAAACGCGAAGCTAAACGTTACTGGAACTCGCTCTGGTTGAGGATATTGTGGATCGACGACGTGTGTAAAACTCGTAATTTTACCTGAAGCATATCATTGCTGTAGCAGTTCGGCAGGGAACTCTCGAGTCCAGCAAAGCATGTGTTATTGTATTGATTGTAATCGAAGTCCTCGATACCCAACTTGTTGTATTTTATATCAATCTATAAGGGACAGATTAAAAACAAGCGAAAACGTAGTTTTTGCCGGAAAGCAGAAAAAATTGTTAAAAGCAACACCAGACATTCTTAAAGAATCGGGAAGGGATATGTTTTTCTACATCTTATTATATAAATTTTCTAGTCGGTCCATAGGGCCTGTTTTTTTTGTTTGTACATTCCTAATTTAAAACTCGGTACATTATGAGTAGCTCAACTGCGCAAAGCGTGCCACGCTTCTTACCTTCTGGTAGTATAAAGGTATTTGGCTTTCATGGGACGGTGATTGATCCTGTAGTTTGAAAGAAGCGGTGGCATGTTTGCTAGTGATGTAGTTGTACTCATTTCGACGCATTCGGCCATTATTTGGGGCATAACCTATTTGTCCCACCATTTTAATCGAACTTAGAATCGCTGGGTCGACCGGGCCCGACACATGATATCGAAATCGCGTTATTTGTGGCGGCAGATCACTGAGTAAGGGTCCATCGCAAATTGGCAGCGGAACAGATGAGTAGACATTGAGTGGATCGCACACATCCATCGCTGGCAATGTATCAACTGGATCAGCGAACTCCGTTGCGCGTTGAATAGTATTATGAAAGCGGATATCCTGGGCAGTTCCTGGTGAGCGATAGTCGGAATGAAATAGCACACAATACGAGGCGCTATCAATACCCAGTACCAGTTAAACCAGAAACCTCAAAACCTCGCGGTGAATACCTACATTACCTCAGACATGATTATTTCATGTTTATCCAGTTAGTGAGCACAAACATCAATTTATCGTAACGCAATGGCAATTTAAATATAATGGCTGTTATTAATATGAATGATTTTAGCAGAAAAAAAGTCACCTATTTTACTATATTTACAAATTCTCGAGACGGGTTTATCAACGATTATTTCAAACCCTTGGCGTCAGAGCCACGGTTGCATGCGCGTATGAACGTTGCCAATACCACCAGTATGAGGCTATTTCCATCAGCAAGTCTGGATAGACCTGACTGATATGTATCGACAGGCGGCGTTTTAATACACATTGAAAACAACATCACGTTCCGCTACAGTGACCTGGAGTCAAATTTGCTTAGATCATCGACCACATCTCTACTCATTCCAGATGGGCTCGATGAGCATTAAATGAAGATATTTTCAGCGATATGCTATGTCTGTTTGCTACTGTTATAACAGCTTAAGATAACAATCGAGTGAAATATGATTGTTATTGGAGTGATTAAATACCGTAAACAATTATATTTCCTGCTTCATCACCAAACGCAATGCCCTGAGAGTTTGAAGAGACATCGAAGCATGTTACTTGAAATTGGAGCATCTCGATCGAATTGATAGGCGATGCTGGTTCGAGTCGCCCGACATCAAACATCTGAAACTGGCCCGATGTTGAAACGCAGACTAGACGTGATGTATAAACCTCCAGGAACCTGTCGTTTGAAGAAAACAATGGGCACAAGCTTGATTAGAGCAACTTAATTCTAGTGTGAAATGTTTGTTCTCCCAGCGCAAACACAAGGAATACCGTGGTATGCTTTTTATCCAGCGTTTTGTTAAGGACACGTATCAGGCCGATGTAGGTAGTTGCAAATGTACGCGGAGTCTAGCTATCACAAATGTACACAACTAAGTATTTTTTCGTACATTGGCTCTTCCTTATAATAATCATCATTTGCCAATATCTCACCACATCACTGAAGAGCTATTAGCCAGTCAACACATACTTAAGTAGAACTGGAGGAAAGTGCGTCCGTATCAACTGAGGCCGGAACGTTCGAAGGTCGTAGACGCTTAAGTACATATGCGCAGTCGGGCGATTTCTGTAGACATCAGAAAATCCGCATGTAACGAGCTGATTCCCTAATAACGCCATATCCTGAATCATCATATTTGAAGACGTAGGAGCAAGATGGCGCATGACCTAAGTACGACCCAGTAAACAAATTGAGTAAAATGTTAAATTTAAGTTACAATTTTACTCTTTAATTCAGAACCTCAAAGTATTTCGGAACTTACATCCAGCACTGATAATAAGCATGTTTCAGATTACAGAGCTACTTGTGCCAGTCTTCATCATGAAATGAAGGTTGGTACGAGTAGTTTATTACACTATTATTATTAAGTAGCTTACATTTCTATACTCGATTTCAACGCGACCCGTCAGTATAGCTATATTATATCACTTATTTCGATTTATTATCGAAAAAAAGCTTTTTTTTGAACGCTAAAAGATGCGAAGGCTACCTGAAAGTTATCCTTGTTACGTAGATCAATTCCTCCAGCAAAATCCGCGCAAGCCAAGAATGTGGGGTTGTTTCGTACTATCTTATATCCAGTGCCACCCTCAATTGATGCCCGTCGAACGATCTGCCCATCTAGGAAAGTAACATAAATTTTGCAGTATTCATTTTCAGTTATTTAGTGTAGAAATTCTCATGGTGAAAGATTCTGCTTGCCTCAACACGATTGATACGAATGGCATAGAACAAAAAGTGCTGAGAACGGTGGGTCAAAAAGTCATTTCGTATCTGATAGCTTAGCACGCTTAAACCACACGCGTTTGTGGATTTCTGTTGCATATCGGACCATGTCTCTTACGGATATACCTATTTACGCTGAATCTCTACTGCTAGGGTTGTATGCTGGAAGCCAACGCTTTTTTTTTTATGGCATTATTAGCTAATTTATTCCCCCTTTAATAAAGTACGTCCGATATAGAAAATTCATTATAGTGAGTGACTTGCTTGGTACTAAACACCTCAGCAAACTAGCCATAACACAACCTTGGCCGTATTATAAACAAATATTTCATTAGAAGACTATGATTACAACATATTATTGTAACATTATAATATAAAAAAATATATTGGGGAGCTTGACAAGGCAATTTCATACCTAATCGCTTGTCTGTATATGCTCAGCAAAAGCTACCTATCTGTGAGCACTAGTCAAGTTTCGAATTTCAAGAAAAATTTCAGGGTTAAAAATAACTTACTTCTGTTTATGTCCAATTCGAATAGAGACGGCTGGTTTCCTGAAACGGCTAGACGATGGTTGGATGCAGATTTGTCTAGAAGACTCAGAGTGCAAAGGTCATAAAAGTCTTCCGATGTTTGAATCCATCTGGAAAGATATAACGGGATTATGTAGTTGGCATCAAAAAAATTAGCACACATGTATATGTGTGTGTGTGTGCGTATATATGTGTGTTGAGCATTCAGCTTAAAGACGGAGTGAATAACGGGTGCGTCATGAGATCCGTTACGGCACTAAGCTGGCAGTAGCTCATAACCTTTTCTTACAGAGCAAACAAGTGCATAGTATGTTGTATCTATCCTGGCTTGCAATGCACATGTCCGAAATGCACAGAAAATTGTGCAGGAGCGAACCTCAGAGATACTGTAGATTTATCCAGTAGAAGCAGCATGGTGAAAACCAGCACTCACTGAGGACTGACAGGTCAGGTTAGGGGGACGCAACCAACCTTGTAAGACCCCGGCGTACATTCATCCGTACGGATGCTGGAGACAGCGAAATCACCCCCTCCTGATGGAGGGCCAGATCTCGTACAGGATAACCTGGTGGGTGCGCTTGAAACGAAGTATATTTTTCGCATAGCGCACTGTAATATGAGGTGACGTGACCCTGAAACAAAAATACGCCCACTGATGATATACTGACAACCAACTTTCGTAGTTACTTAGGTTAGTAGTTGAATAGAGATATGCCACGCCAAATGGTATGTTACGACAGCCCCAACAAAGCCAAAATGAAGTATAATATATTGAGTGGTAATTTTGTATATGTATCTGCACTACGATAGCCTCCTTCTACAATTGTATAATCATATAATGCCTTGCATCGTAGCTATTGCATGCGCCCGTTTTTGGCCGCATATGTTTTACCTGGGTATAATAGACAGACGAAACTTTGAATCAAGTTGATTCATTTGGAGTTACTTTTTCTATTCGTCAAAAAAAGCCTGAGCTCGTATATAAGTATTCGATTTCAGGGACTAAAAATAAAGGCGACTATGTACTGGATATAGTTTCGATATGTATATGCTACCATCCTGTTTCATAGAGGATAAGTATAAGAGGTAGCAGACGAAATCAGGTGCTGGCATATGACCACTTACCCCTTGACCGCCCACCCAAATTAGCTCATCGAAGGGGTCTATCATGAGAGAGGACACTGCGGCCGCTCCATCGGCAACCGTATTCTGAATGTAGGAGTAGACAGCTGGAGTCTCCATTGTATCATCAAGCTACTCACTGAATCAGGAATTGCAGAGGCCGTCAAACGCGGACACGGCAAGCACACTAGATTGTAGTCGGTCATGCGGCAATTAGTTTCGAAAAACGCCTCCGAAAGGAGTATATGTACACGGGCTGCTAATAACCGCCTAATGTTATCTGACACAACGCAACGTCAAAACAATGAGTTCATATTAGCGATTGATTTGTCACTACTATATGCATAGCTTTACTCATAATGACAGAATCGTGAAGAGTAACGCGTCTTTTGGAGTTTAAAGGCTTGACAGACCTCGGGACACATTGAAATTTTGCTAGCTATGGTAACATCTGCCAGAAGAACTGTCTTAGAAGTTAGTTTGTTTTTTGCTAGAATATCGTATTTTAACGATACAATAACGGGATCCACAATAACGAGTAGTTCCGCTAATTCACTTTCGAACGAAACCGCAGGCATTCAAGAAGAAAAGGGAAAGGACGTAGAAGGACTTATAATTATTTTCACCCAGTTGTTTCTACGTGTTTGTAATAATTAGTGACAAAAGAGATCAAATCTTTCCGTAACCAATTGATGACGCCTGTTTAATGGCGATTTGTGAAAACGCACGATGATCTTTTATATTTATTAGCAACAGTAGCCATTTCATCGGTTATTATTCGATATTATGGCATTATACGACTAGGAAAAATCGAAAATATCTTCATGTTTGAAAAATTAGATGAAGTTTAAGGACGCAGATCTACTAAAGTATGGTGAGTTTTATAACGTTAATTACTATGTTCGTCGTACTTATCAAACATACGGGACGAACTACCGTTACTTCGTATATTCAAGCGCCTTCTCAAGGAGTGTGATATCTCTTGTATGGAAACACATATCCGCGGAAAAAAATTTGAAGTCACGGATTTAACGTAAAGTAAAAGGTCTACTCATATCCTATAGGAAATGCAGGAAGTAAAAGTTCATAACATGGATACCAACATTTTTTACCGTGTCGAGACAATGCATGATTACATTATGTGTAAATATTGTACGTTAAACATTGTCATTTAATATGTTGGCTAACCCAATTATTAATTTATTAACTTCGATATCTAGTGGCTCCAGTATGTTAACTAAGCTTTAATATATAATCCTACTAGTAGGATTACTAGCAAAATTTAAATAAGGCACTATTACTTTTTTGACTCAGCATAAAAAACCCAGCCAATGTTACTCGAAGCTCAAAAGATAAGAAAATATTTCTATTCAGTGTCAAACTACACTGTCATCTGCTAAATATGAAATACCAAGCTAAACTCTGTTATGTTAATTGATGTTGACAAACAAATACCAACTTATCCTGACTTCATCGGACGTGCAATGTTGTATCCACAAGCAAATATGTGAGTATGTCTGAACAAAATACGCGTATCACATTTCCATAATAAAGACATACACTTTTCTATTTTCTTTTTTTTAAATTTACGTTAATAATGCTCCACACTAACAATTCTTAATTATTAGCACAAAGAAAATGTAAACAAACGTACCGTATACCATGTTATACCAGCTAGAGAAAATCAACTAAAGTCAGTAAAAAACAACAACCTTCTTATAGCGCGTTATTTTTGTTTTGATTCCTACTCTTCATACCTGAGCGTTAAGAGAACGTAATACTTACATTGTCGATCTCTGCAAGTGCATTGTCACGTTGATTTCTATCAGACGCTACAATGTCATTCAACGTAACACAATAACTGTCGTACTTGAATAAGCTTCATCCACCGCATATCGTTGCCGTAGCATTTTTCTTACGCTTTGACAGCATTGACCAAGCTGAGATAAATTATAAAAATTTTGGGCGCAAGTATTATTCTAATTTTCATTAGAGCAATTTGTTTGTCGTGTTAGCACCCGACAGATACGTTTGTTGTCGCACTGACTATGGTATAATCAGAACGATAGTGGTTTTCTCTCCAATTTTCTGATTTTTCTCTCCAGTTTAGTATTAGCAACGCAAAAAAACGGAAGGCTAATTTATTGGTGCGGTTCCCAAATCGCCAGTGCTGCAATAATAAGTAGTTTTCTAGAGATAAAAAGAAAGCCTGCTTATTTGTCCACCACTATGATAAAATCAAATTTGTCAAACAAAAATAGATTCACAGAAATCAGCAACTCATGTTCCATTCACTTTGACAGCTGTGTTTATTGGTGCCAGTTGAATATACATGGCTTACATATCAATATATGGATGATGCAATCAATTGACACATGGTAGAAATTTTAATAAAGTCTATCGAAATAGTGCAGGTAGCTTTTTGTCACTGGGTAGCTAAGGGCAGTAGGCTAGCCGCTTCAGCCAGCTGACTTAATGAATGAATTCTGTCGAATCAAAACACCCCCGAATCGTCGGGCGACTCTGGAAGCCTGGGAGAGGTCAGAAAAATTCCGCTGACAGATTCCAGTTGCCGCCTGCGGACTAAAAATGTGAAAAATACTACTTGAATGCAACATATCCTCTCACTTGCACCCATTTATCGTAAGTTAATGCTATAGTGTAACCAGCGTGCCTCAACGTCGTAGCTGGGTATTCCTACGCATTGTTTTTGAAGACGTTCGTATAATGCAAGGGCTACAAAATATTTTGTCCATAATATTTAATCTTGTCATTCGTTTGATAGCAGCTTTTTTTACGGTAAAATCTACCTCGTCCGTTAGCGTTAACGTTGAATCTACGACTTTTGAACGCGGACACGTCCATGCAAACGGAAGAAGTGTCGATTCATAATGACAATAAGATTAATAGTAATTAGGTGTAACATTTGTACCATTTACATAATATTATAAAATTTGAGGATGATCTTTTAAAGGATGTTCCTACTTAACTCACACTCAGTGTTATTTGTTTGAGCTTGCTTGTTTGTTTGATCGTTCCAGCTAGCTCCCTTGCAGAGCTGTGGAAGGCTTTCGTGGACCAGATAAATGTTAAAAAATATGGGGATATCCGACCTTATCCGTTAATTCGGGCGAATTAACTGGCTCCGATCGCGTAACAACAAGCAACTTTCGAATGCGTATTTATGACCAATCTCTCTCTTGGCTATGCTACCGTTTTCCAAGGACTTCAAAGATAAAAATCAAGCTTTGACAAATTAACGTATTCATTATTATTAGTATAAGCATTACCGAATATCCTATCGTGCGCGTACGCATCTACGAAAAAAATGAGAGCTTACTGCAAAGATCCTTTTTCGCGTTGGTCGAATCTGTGTCGTTTCTGACTGAAGTCGTCTGAGATTGACAACAATAACAAGCCTATTTCAAACACTAAACACACGGAAGTTCCTGTTCTCCAGAAAGAGTTTCATGATTTGCAAAGATCCTACGTTGTCTCAACACTGAATAGGGGAGAAAGAGGACGTTAATACATTCTTTTCCATGAAAAAGTGCTTCGCTTCCCGAACGTGGCTACCATTGTATTGCACTGCAGTGCACGTCGGTGTAATGATCGCATTGATTGCGCTGTATGCAGTGCTTGTCTGCCGTTTTACCGTAAGCAACGCTATGGAATAGAGTAAACAATGCTCAGTAAGGGCATGCCATTTCAATATGTTTGTGTAAGTTTTATTGGCCTAATCGTATTAATTGAAGGCTGCCATATTATAGGTCCATAAATGTATTGTAGAAAGTGACAAATAACTAAAATATACAGCATTCCTCACCGTATCTGAGAAAACACGAGGTCCTTTAAACAATTTTTGTCGAAAGGACACAAAACCTGTTACTTGACTTCCTTATACAAACAGGCTCTGCTGGTATGTCTATAAGTTTTCAACAAAATGGGATGAGTAAGTTGAGACTTGCGCTTGTAATGCTCCCACTTAGCACACAGTCGCGTCTCTGATTATATTTCCTCAATTCTAAGGTGCTTGATTCATGCCTCTGTCTTGAAGCATACTGCCAAGTCAAATTTTCATTATGTTGGTATCTTCAAACCATGCAGTTCACATGGTAACAACCAGAAGTGGGTGCTGTATGACATCTGACAACCGAGTATACGGGATGCATTTACTCGAATGAAGAGCGTAAAGCCCTCTGAGCATGTGCCAGGTCGTGGCCCGGTCAAAAAAGGACTGGCTTACGTTAACTGAACAAGTTTCCAAGTCGTTAAAGATAAGAAAAGCATATGTAATTAAAAAAAAAAAAAAAAAAAAGATGAAACAGCAATTATAGCTTCTTCAAAACGAACATCAGACTTGTGTCAGATGCCCAATTGGGTTTGCCACTTTCTATCTGAATTGGGCGCTTTCTGAGTCGTCTGCTGTTCTGTTTACAAACGGCTGCCTTTCTCATGCCGGGTAACTGCGCTTAACTTTCGAACGTTGTTTGAAAGGAGTTTTAGATCTGTTACCCCATGTTTTTAATGTAGAATTATTTCCCGGCTACGTGCTAGCTGTTCTGTTTCATATAAGTGAGCATTTCAATCAACAGCTAAATGAGTAAAGATTATAAACTATAAAAAAACTTTTTTATGATGTGTCTGTTTGTATGCCGGTGAAGCAGGCTCTAAACGTTTCAGCTAATACCGAAATTGTTATACTGTATCGCGCGTCTTGTGACAAAAATGTCAGATAGCGACGATGAGATTCAATTTGTGCACAAACAGAAAATCGTCCATTACGGAAGTTTAGAGGAAGAAGAACGCCGGCGACTTGAAGCCCAACCTCAAAATGACTCTGAATCCGGCGGTTCCGATGGTAAGCAATTGCTGACATTCCTTTTTTCCACAATGTTTAGTATCAAAGAAATTTTATAAACGCCAGAGATAGGAAAGTAGTTTTTTGCAAGATTAGTTCGGCCGATATTCAGGCTTCCATGCGTATAGAGAAAATTAAACATTACGATTTTTAACTAATACATCAATTCATAAAGCATGAAACCTTATGTACTAGAAGATGCGGTCAAATAAATGCGGTAAAGATTAAGTGATTAGAGCAAAAGCCGCATACACATTGTGTCAGAAAATTTATTTCGCGTAATTAGAAGCTAGGCGCAATTGTTCAATCAGTTCATTATTCAACAATATTGTTCACGAACTGGTTTTATTAACAAGTTGCGTTGACAAAATCTGCTACCTTTTTTCGCAATGAATTATGGGATTTCTGATCGCAAGTACGGTATCAAACGATACATAAACCGTTGTTCAATAAAGTAGGTCTTACGAGAGCATACACGATAACTTGTCTCTTTTGCAGGCAGTGGAGACCAAGATGGCTCCGATGGTCCATCAGGCGGAGGCCCGGGAAGCCCATCCGAGTATATGGCACTTGAAGAGGAGCGGATGTCCCGAGAGAAACAGCTTTTACTCGAAGAGCTTGAGCGAAAGAAGAGGGCGCGGAAACTGAATGTCCCTACCGATGACGGCCAGGTGAAAAATATTCTCAGAGAAATCGGACATCCAATTTGCCTTTTCGGGGAAGGACCAGCAGACCGAAGAGAACGTCTTCGAAATATTCTCGCTAAGGACGAAACCGTTACCGCACTACGGTAAAAGAACAAACCTACAGTTTACTTTCATGAGTAAAATTTTGAGTGGTTTGAAAAGGTGTGACAGGTATTTACATTTTTTTCACCAAATCGACTACCTACGACAGTTGCCGCATTTTCTCGTACAAAATTTATAAAATTATAAGTACATTCGTAAATACTTACCCACATAACTTTGTCAAAACATCAATATGCAAAAAGAAGCCTGTCAAATGCCTATTTCAATCGTATCGACTGCATCTTGATCCAATTTAAATACAGTCTGTTTCTATTATCTAAAGGCTGTGTCGTAAGTATACATGGAGGACTTTTCTTATGCTTTACGACTGTACAATTAGCACTAGCAATAACCACAGCTGGGTCTTTAACTTTTCTATTTGCTATCTCAGACTTCGTCCAACTGAAGAGGAAGAGCAAGAAGCAAAAGGTGATGAGACAACATGGTACCACGAAGGACCTGACGAACTGAAGGCCGCAAGGGAGTGGCTTGTAAGGTATTCTCTTCCCCGAGCCAAAGCAAGGTTTGTGTACTGTATAAGGCCTTTATCAATATTTGTAGCACACTTATTAGGGTGTAACACTCTTATTATCTAGAACTGCCCTAAACAAAATCTTTATATCAAGATTTTGTTTAGAGCAGTTCTAGATAGACGTTTATTTTTATGGCAAAGTTATATATAGATGCTATAGTAGGGAGAAAAGCTTATAAGCTGAGTATCATTCAAAAGGGAAGTTAACACATTAGGAAAGTTTATTTAGCGATAAAGCGACGATCACATAACCATCCTGTCATACCATATATTGATTTCCACCGTTGATAATTATTTAATATTTTAGATTGGAGCGCGAACGAAACACAGGTAAACAAACGGACCCACAGCGTACAGCAGCAAAGCAAAAACTATTTCAGCGACTTAGAGGGGTGACGATTGCGGCCTCTCAAGTTGGCGACGAACGACCGCTTTCGTGGTGTGAATGGTCTCCAGACGAAAGTCTCATCGCGACGGCTTCCTGGAGTAGTCTCTGCAGGATCTGGGACACGGGAAATTTACAACAGGTAAACTTATAGAAGTGGTTCATTATCACAGACGACATCCTAAGAAAAGATTCATATTGCTGGTTGAAGCTATTCGCTCAATGTTTGGGATTAATGAAATGGTCGATCATAGGAAATATAGACAGAAAGCAGAAAGCTCCTGAGTGAAGCATTTTGATTAAAGCTACTTGATTCCGACAAAATCTTCCCGGCATACTGCCGATGTGGCACACTTTATTTTCGACTCGTTTGGTGATCAGGAGTGAATTTCTTATAAGAAAGGAAACAGCAAGAAATAATTTTGTTGCGTAATTGCTACATAACTCATTATAACGTAAGATCATCGTGAAATTACATCATCTTATCTCTTCTACCACAAAAGGGAATTCTGACCCTTCTGTCATCTTTTGATAGTGTATTTTTATAAATCGTCTGATCTCTGCGTGGATATCTAGGTGAAGGTGCTGCGCGGTCACGAAGGCCAGACAGGGTGTGTGACTTTTCACCCGGGAGCCACACGGTTACAGAAGACGACTGAGCTTAACTTGGCTTCCTGTTCTACCGATGGAACAATATGCTTGTGGAGCCTTCAAAGGTGTCTATTTCACAACCAGTATATACAGAGATTAAGAACATAATCCTTTGCTTAAATTCATTTTGCTTCGAGAAACGACGTGGTGTTATATAGCTCAGTCGTTTCGGTGCGTCTGTGTATTCGATTTAATACAAATCTTATAGTTAAAGTAAGCATATTTAGAGCCAATGGATAGACCAACGAAAATCATGTGTACGTCTGTAGTCTTACAACTATGTATCTACTGTGATTTCAGCGATACGCCGACGGAGACGATACGTGACATGGCCCCACACCGGGTTTCTCGAGTGGCGTTTCACCCCTCTGGCCGATTTCTTGCATGCTGCGTGTACGATAACACGTGGCGTCTAATTGATCTTCATCACAAAATGGAAATCCTCTACCAAGACGGTATCGTCCTCTTATGATTTAAAGTGTTTTTAAGTTCGCCCATGTTTTCGTAAATTCTTGAGCAGAAAGTTTTTTAAGGTATTAGTGTTATCTGAGTGCCTTCATTTTATTATAAAAAAACAAGTGCCAGGTATCATTCGAACATGTAAATTACATACATACATTTGAGATCACTTGACATGATAGACTAGGTATACTATACCCCACATTACACATGACCGCTTTACGAGCCGGACATAAAGGTCATAAAACGAGTCCTCATATAGTTAACCAAAGGTTCATAGAATTATTTAAGACTTATTTATGATTGCATTACATTCCATTCTTAGGTTTCCAAGCGAGGTTGCCCAACGATTGAACTCGTAGGCGGAGAGAAACATGATATACATATCATGATATGTATGTCAAGGTTGCTTAACACAATATCCATGAACTTCATGCACCTTGTACTGTGCGTAGGCAATAGTGAAAATCGTAAATTGCATAGCGCGTTACTTCATCTATGTTCGACTCGTCAAGTCTTTATCAGGTCTCGTCAAATCAAAATTTTCTTCATACGGGGGTATGGCGGACATTTTAATAGAATTCAGGATCGTTCTCTATGGATTTTCGATTTCGTTTTGTCAGGTTTTCTTGAAGTGTTGAAATCGACGGCAGATCGAAACAGCGACATGAATTTTCGACGAACACTGGCGTCGTCGCCGGCAAATAGACAAGCTGGTTACAGGTTATTTGGCGCAATCATATGGTGGTGGCAGTTGACCTGGGAGATACAGTGCGTAAAAAACCGTAACTTTGCGACCTCTTTCAAGTTTCATGCGCCTGGAAGTGGCTACTTATGTCAATACCTAAATCTAAATCATATTTATGGGTAGATTTTTAAATGAAACTGAAAGTAGAATCGGGTTTAAGTTGTTATTTTGGGCAATGTCTATAATCTGTTCCGAGATACCACCGTTGCTTGTCATCCTGTTTTCCTAAAGTATCGCAAACGATATCTATCTAAAATTTGCTTGATATCGGCAAATAGGATCCTGCATGCCGTATCGGTCGAATGACTCTTTCTAAATTTGTATTGCTTTTTGGGTATAGCACCTACACTACCTACGAACACGTCATCAGACGGAAGAGAAGTAGCAAATGCTTTCTTTTGTGATCCGGCACCACGAGATACGTTTTATTCGCCATTTAAGAGGAAAGAGTTCGAAGCAAAAACATTGGTCGAAAAAAGCGGTCGAGCACGGCGAAAGTCATCCGGTGGCCTTGAAGTGTTTTTTTAGAATCTTGTCTGCTGCGTTCCTTGAGCGTAAGCTGTCGAACGTCTGCCTTGAAGGACTCAGTCATGTTCACTATAAATATGTCTTCTGTTCATGATCACACACTGGGTAACACAAATGGTACATATTTTGCATTATTAATTACGCATGACGGACCTCATGGTTCTTGTATATGTCCGAAATGCTCAAGAAACGAAGCTATGAGGCACTGTAGGTCGACCAAGCATCAGAGACCTTTTGACCTGCAATTTCATAACGCTCAAAATAATGAAACATTCCTTCTAAACATGTATAAATCTGTCATATTTATTGTATATGTATATATATGCAAAAGTTCGTTGCTGAACCCTATCACAGCTGTCGCAGGTTGCCCAGGTGATGGCGATCCCAGAATCCGACTCCAGTATCCGACTCCTACGGCGCGGGAATACTCATTCCTGTGCTCTAAGTGCCTAGCCGACTGTGGGCACAACATCCGTCTGTCTATTTGTTATCATGGTTGGGACATCATGCTCTAGGCGCTAGCTGCACCCGTAGAGTTGCAGTTTTCTTTCGAAACTTCCCATTTCATCAAGAACTTTCTACTGAAGCTTATGTGCATTATTAGGAACATTGTAAAAAATCATGTATATGCAAATATTAGATATTGCAAAAAAAGGACGCTTACAATTGCAATACTTGTACATTTGCTGCAGTATGTATGATTGCTACCGAGAACAAGTTTCGTTACATATATCTAGAGAGATCACTAGACTCCACATGTTTTTGGGAGAGATCATTAGATTTCACATTATTTGCTAAAAAAGGGTACCTAAATCTAATATCCATTTCAGTGGAAACTATCTCAATACGTACCGTATTGGGCGTTGAGATCGGACGATGTCCTTGCTGGCACAATCTCCTTATCATGCACCTCATAATAAATTGTTAGACTTCGCATGTTCATAACAAATCAACATCACCCTCTCCCCCCATATTGCATCAAACCAGATCTAACATCACCCTCTCCCCCCGTATTGCATCAAACCAGATCTATCTATTTCTTTATGTTCATGCGTGCAATTCTTAACTTTCGAGTTTCCTTGGTTCGTTGAAATGCAAAAAGAGATCACGTCAGACTCCTTCAGCGGCATGAGGCAACTATGTCTCTGCTATTAAAACTATTAGGGGTAACAGAAAATGATCTTCCACGAAATTCTTCGCAATTGAACTATTTAAAATCGAAGGTAGGGACCAATAAGCATTGTTAGGGATGGCATACTCCCGCGAAGACCTTTATATTGTATTATAAGAAGCGCGACTTGTAACATAGTGAAAGCCATCGATCTTTTTTAACATTTTTTGTCGAAATGAATTTTGTGTCTTTTTGCAGGACATTCGAAGCCGGTGCATGATATCGCTTTTCATCCAGACGGTTCTCTTGCCGCTACAGCTGGCCGCGACGCGTTCGGACGACTGTGGGACCTGCGCACTGGCCGATGTATTATGTTCCTTGAAGGGCACCTTAGAGATTTGTTATGCGTTGACTTTGCACCCAATGGGTATCAGTTGGCTACTGGCGGACAGGATAACAGCGTCAAAATATGGGACATTCGCCATCGAAAGTGCGAGTACACAATACCCGCACACACGAATATTGTTTCGAAAATTAAATTCGACAGTGAGTATCCGTAGTGCAATGCTGAGCAAAACTTTTCATTTCTCTCAAAAAATGTTAAAGTACGACGACGAAATATACCATATACGCAGTACGTGTTTAGCAGCGGTTGACTATTTTTTGTTGAAAATTGCAGAGTCGAGCGGCCAATTTCTCGTGAGTGCCTCCTATGACAATACTCTCAAGGTAATTTTCTTTGAAAATATAATCAGAGGATTATTTACGCGAAGCATGTATTGTATTCCACAATAAATAATAAATCTACCGCGTTCTGATTTTTATCACAGTTTTGGGCGGCTCCTGATTGGACTCCTATACACAAGTTGAGCGGCCATGATGGAAAAGTTATGGGCTGCGATGTGGACGCTAAGGGTGAAGCCATACTCTCGTGTTCCTTCGACCGAACCTTCAAACTCTGGCAACACGATGACCTGCTATCATTTTTCTAATGATTAGTACATTGTGTAGATGCGCTAGGCGAACTCTACAAAAATATTTTCGTATTATGTGTGATTGTACCTAAACAATAAATGGAAAAAATCGGGAACATGTTCAGCATTTTTCGATCAAACTTTGTCGCCAGATGGTCTCACTGGGGCTTGGTAACCCGCATAGGTAGTCGTCTCAAGAATGACTCAGTTTAAGCAGCGCCCTTGATTCATGAATAGTTAAAATAAGTGAAGAGAAAACCTGACATAGATAAGGAGTCTTGTTCAATATACTCCACAAGGGGAGCCTCGTTCGACATACTCCATAAGGCAAGTAGGTCACAGTAAAAAGATTAGATTTTTAGACTAGAAAACCCACTAAAAAGGGTTTTCGCAAAGATAAAACCCACAAGGGGCGTGCCTGATAATTCACCTATTTGCTTTCTTCTTCGGTAACCACTAAGTGTCTATGACAGTTACCAAAAATATACCCCATTTCTATACTTGAAAAGGACCTATGTATTAAATTTACAAACGTTAATTTTACACAAACTAAATAGCTTATGAATAAATTATAAATAATGGTATATAGATAAGCATATAAGTAAACCTGATAAGTATTGCTTGATATGCTCTTCGTAAATTATATGTAGTTTACTCATGTTGTTTGAAAAATCTTTAGGAGAGATCATACTGCCTCGAGATTCAACCGGTCCAAAACAGAAAAGTTTCCATAGAACAGGGTAGATTCTGTATTGTGATACAACCCATTACATTGTTGTATTGTTGGCGGTATCACTGTCATCGAAGCACTATGATCCCAACGGTAGTCGGACCAATTTGTGGATAATTAGCGCAGTAGTAAGACACAGATTTGATGTATAAGTTTAGTTAAACATTCTTCCCTCGCGTTCGTGCTACCATTCGATTCTAACCCTAGTCACCATAGATATTACGTTCTCATCATCACCATCGAATTTAAATCTTGAATGATCTTTAGCCCTCAGCAGTTCTTTTCATTATCATAATCCGACATTAATGTTGCTGCTTTTTACCACTACTACTATATTATTATACTAGAATAATAAACGTAAATAGCGATAGATATTGTTGGGTGGATAGTATATGTCACAACGTTAAGGAGAATATAGGTAGTCTCCGATTCTCTCACGCGCACACAATTGGGGGTATGCGGCAGTAATAATAATAGTAATAACAATAATAGCTCGGAGCTGGTGTCCATATGTGAACCCAGCTCGGCGATTTTCGCTGACTGCTGAGCTGTTTATGGCTATGTTCACGAATATTAATTTCTTATGATTTTTGTTGTCGTATTCATGCAATTTTTAACTTGTCTGTGTGTAAATTGTCCTGATATAGCGAGGACCAACACTAGGATGTCTGATCCGCAATGGCAATTTAGATCGTCATTGTTTCTTTTATAAAAATACAGTTTTGTTTGGTAGAAGAGTTAGTTATTCATTATTTTTGCCACCCTTCTTCTGTTTCTGGATCTTTGCACATACTGGATCTCTTTACTGTGGTGGTGCCTAATACGTCCGAAATGAATACGTCTCGATCTGTGGGCATGTAAATATTTGTGGTCATTCTGTATGAGTAGGTCACATACGAGGAATGGACTTCAGAGCTCCTGGGTTTGTTAGTCACGGTGGGACGTGGGCTGGCGCATGGTGGGGTCGTGAGAGGCAAACTTTTTTAATACGTCAGTATCGTTAGAAATGTATGCAAGAGTAGTATTAATCAAATTCCCTCTCGCTTTTAGTAGTATGAAGTTTGTGCAACTCACTGATCAACTTACAGAGTAATCCGCTCTCCGAATTCAGTATCTTGATAGTGGCGAATAGATACCGAATATTATATATACATTGTCTTTTCGCTCGCTTTGAGTGCTTCGAAGGCACCAAAAACATTGTTACTTGTTATAAAGCGAGGTGTTGGTATTATATGTATTGCAGTATAAGGCTCTCATATCTCATACAACCACAAAGCAATATATAGTTTTTATATAGGCGTTAGTGTATATATATTATTGTTGTTGACGTCTGCTTAGATCTGTGAATGTATGCCAGATAGACGTCTAGAGAAATAACTAAGGGGAGGTACACAAGCAAATATATATATATATATGCTGCTGTGTTACTGTGTTTTATACAATAAAGCAATATCGTCTATTTAGATCCACAAACTTGCATTTACAATAGGCCAAGCTATTTCAGCGTTTCAGGATATATGTGCCCACTGTCGTTCCCTATTAATGAGGCAAATTATTCTAATTAGTAATGGTAAAAACTATTATGAGCATGCTTACTGTATTGCCTCTTGCTAGCCGTCTGTCCATTCTTGTTCTCCGTTCCGCTCCACACGCCAGCTTAAATTAGGTCCATACATTTTCTCCGTTATTGCGTAGTTTAGCTGTCTTTTCTACAATCGATAATTATACGAATACACAAGCACTTTTGTCCAATCTATTTATCCTAACATTGTATCAGTCGTGCTAGACCATATCATCCTACCGTTGGTAACATTAAGCCTCCGAGTTTATACGATTATATGTTCTCATTCATCACCACTCAAGTGAGTGGTCTATACGCCTAACTTCGGCAGCATTGTACGATAGTTGTGTTTTGTGAGTTTTGAAATCTAGCTTCCGTGAACTACCTCGCGCAGCTCTTCTTTGTTTTCAGGTCCTTTTTCTGCCGCGCGAAATAGCGCCACGTTGCCGGCTTCATTAGCCAGCGATGATGACTGCCAATTTTCAGCAGTGGCTATCCTCATGTGTATTATATAGCTTTTGGGTCGCAGGTGTTGCAATGTTATGCTTGCCTTGTTTAAGATACATGGCTAGCCTGGGGAGAGAGACGACGCACGATACGCAAACCAAGTATTGTACAGCTAGGACTAGCAACTGAATATTACATATCATCTGGCCTTATTTTCAAAAGTTGACTGTAAGGATCTTTTTTCAGCCTTTGCTGTTTTGAGAAGGCTGAACGAATAAATATGCGAATCTTCTTGTTTTTCCCACGTCCTGTTCGTCATACTTTGATTCACTCTACGATCTAAAAGCTCCATAGGGGCAGTCAACACGGCCGCGTTTCTGTAAGCGTTTAAAGCGTTTGAGAATCAGCCCTAGGTTGCATGCGTCCTTCCTCCCAGGTAATCGCGCAATTCGTACTTTTTCCGCTTTTTTCGTTCGCGAGTTAATTCGTTGATCTTGCATAGCTAAAATGGCGCTGAGGCGATCAATACATCTATATATCCGTTTTCAAATCCGCTACTAAGTTTGCTGTCGTGCTCTTACGACTTGCCAGTCGTGATGGCCTGAAAAGGCCGCTGGAAGTTGGTGAATGGTGTGGGACTTTCGGCCGGGGTAGCAATGCCAGCGGCTACGAGAGGCGCTGTGGGTGGAGCAACAACGGGGGGCAGAGGAGCGACTGCGGTCACTGCGGCGACATGGCTCGAATTCATCGGACCGACAGAGTCTGAGGCGTCATCGGCCGTCTGAAAATGGCACGATTTGGCAGCTTCGAGCATCTCGGAAGCCATCATCGGCTGCATTAGGTAGACCTCCTGTCGGTCACCGTCAATTAAGCAATCGACCCTGAAACACATTACCAGAAAACAGGGCTATAGAGGGGCAAAAGGAAATAGTTCTGAGATATTGAACGATGATGTCGCATACTGATCCCAGGTAGTGGGATATTCTTGGTCAACGTTATTTTGCAACCGCAGGCAACATCTATTGCATAATATGTCAAATAATGGGAGATCATTTAGCTGAAACAATCTGATACTTTTTTTTAGTAGCCGGTTTGAGTGAGGTAATGTTACGCGGTGTTTTACATCCATGAGCAGAGCCTTCGGCGTCCAGTCAACCAAAGCGTTAAATTAATCCGATCAACTACTGCGTCTATACTTATTACACGCGCAGGCAGGATAGTACACTGAAAGACTTCAACGCAGGCTCGTACACATACGCATCAGCCTCGTTCAAGCTATTGGAATTGCTGGTCTGTATAGGAGCAGAAAGAACATTATGGTCGGACCAATAACAGTGAGTAATAATGGATCACAATGCAACGTTAGCATATTCACTTCTTTTCGTGTGGTCGACTGCTTATTGACAAACCTGGCTCTGATTTGGCAGGTTTGTCAGTTAGGCGTCTACGTATGCTGTGAGTCATACAAAAAAGGATGTTCACCTTTGAACCTACGAAGACGGATGATGTGATAGAAAAACATCGATTCTGAAATTTTTGTAAGGACAGTACTAATGCTCAGTATTGAATTTCGAAGGATCGTAATAGCGCTTTTTGATCAAGTACTATCGGCATGATTTTTTTATGCTAAGCTCGAGAATTGCTTGCTCGTATAGCCGTCTACCTAAATCACATATGCGTTAAATTAGCTTTTAACAGACATATTTTTAACCGTTCGGTAATAGCGGTATTGTTCTTTGTTACTGGTGCTCTCTTACAGTAACGGAGACTGATCAATTCGCGCACCCAAATCCATAGCTATAACATATAAGCATTTATTCTTTAGGGTGTTTTGTCTCGTATGCGTTTCATCGTAATAAATTATCTGAGAGTTACTTTCGATACTTACTTGTCGTAGATCACGCCATCGACTCCTTTTCGCTTAAGGGCTTCGATGCCCTCGGTCGTATTGTTGTCCTCGCCCCAACAGAACAAAATGAGCTTTTTGTTTTTCACTAGCGTAATGCAGTCAGGATTCGCAAGTAGCTCCTCGGTATGGGCGTTTACGCCAAGTATTCCCGTAGTTTTTGCGAAATAGGCTGCCATTTGAGTGCTGCTCGTTCGCGGATCCTGTGATAGAGTTCAGTAGGACAACATTGCGCGCAGAAGGTGCACGAAGAACCCATTAGAATTTGATATATCAATAGGCACTACGATAGCGAATGGGCAGGTAAGACTCGTATACATATAATTAGGTTATTATGTATGGTATAAAGCACGACGTGAGTGTTTACAAATTATGGAATGTGCTCTAGTTAGATGGAGCCAAATAGCTCAAAAAGGTATCAGGATACGTACGTGGTAGGCGGGATATTTGCTGGTAACTCCTTGTGTGAGGAACAGCAACGGATATTTGTTTTGTTTATACCGAATCATGGTGCAGACGTCAGGATGGAAACATGATAACAGAATGAATCGGTCGCCGGAATGCTGAAGAAGTTCGCTTAGAATGATATCCAGGTATTCATTCATATCGAACGGATAGTCGAGTTCCCAGCTACCGTCAGCATACTGTAGTGGAGCTTTTATCTCAACATTACAACCGACACGACCATCTACAGCCTGTTTTTGAAAGAAAGATATACCACGTTGGTGTTATGTTAGGCAAGCGGAGCATTCGGCTATAGAAAGGAAGACAATAACCACTTTTTCAACAGTAGAACGTATGCTGTAAAAGTTGTAAATGCAGTCTTTATTACCGTCAAAATTGTTTTTAGAGTTGGGAATGGCTGGTTGTCGTCGATATCTTCATCGGTAAACTCCAGTCGCGCTTCGGCGTGCCTTTCAGCTGGCTGCAGCTTGAGATCGTGCAGTTGCTGCGATGTGAGGTCCTTCACGGCCACGGTAAGTGGTTCTTCCTCATTAGCCGTACGTCGGCGTTTTTTTATAGCAATATTAATGTGAAAGTCGTGGTAGATAACAGGCACCTTATCCTTTGATAGCTGAACATCTAGTTCGACCATGTCAGCTCCATGACGAGCGGCGTAGTTGAACGAGGCGACTGTATTTTCCAGAACGTTCTCCACCTGCCACGGAGGTGGACACGCGTCATTTGTGACAGATTTATTTCAAGTAGAGCTATTATCTTGAAAATTACACGAACAGTTCGTTGTTCAGGCATTGCTAGTACTAGAAACCACTAAAGTTATTATGTGTATACAGAGGATAGACAGTTCAGATCTACTCTTGTATCCGTTAACCTGTTAAATTTCACTAGCCTACTTGATTTAGGCTAATGAGGCGAGTTTAAAGAAACGAGTACGCTTGAAATGAGCAAAACAATACATTTTTCACCGTTAGCTTCCCTGAGTTACTGTAACTAACAAGAAATTACAAGGTAGACGTGTCATTGGATCGTTCGATAGATTCTAACTGAAGTTTTTAAAATACCGATAGCGTATGCGTTATGACTGTATCAGTATATGAGCTAGGTAATCTAGGGTTACCTTGGCTGAGGCTGGGAGCTTGTCTTTCTTAATATCGGTTCGTCGGGCGTTACCGGCACCGCGATGGCCAACATCCAGGCCGCGCTTATGACGTTTCCAAAACTTAGCAAAAGTAAGCTCAGCTGTGCATCTATACCCTTTAAGCGGCTTGACGATCAAATAGCGAAGAGTTAGCTCACCAATCGGATGGTGTCTGCAAACGAAAGAATTAGAAGCGGCAATATTTACGAGCTGCGCATAACTACAGAAGTTATGAGCTATAGGAAACGTTTAGAAAAGAAAAGTAAATGACGTTGCTTTCTGCATGGGCACATCAGTTGATAGTAGCAGTAAGTAGCCGTTGACGAAATAGCACTCGCTTACCTCTCAATAATAATGCTATGCATCCACTGTGTCATCATTACGCTTTTACTAGTCGCCCTTACTAGGCAATGCATCCTGTCGCAAAGCCTTTTAATTTTAAACTTGAACAACTATTTAAAAAGCTACCACGTTGGCTATTGGAGGTTAGTTCCGAGGTGCGCATTGTTGATCGGAGCTCTTTCAGCGATTGCTTGTAATTATCTGCTGATGTACTATGTCTAAATCATGATTTTCCGCATTAGTCTGCGTAAACAACGAGACACCTAAGGCCCATGCTAAGCAAAAAGATCTATACAACAACGACTCTGTAGACAATGGGAACGCTTATTACCGGGTTCCTGTTATCGGGATGGTAACATTCCCGTTAGATCCTTGCAAGTTCGATGGTATGAGGTAGGCAAAACCGATGTGCTCCGGTAACTCGGGTGTTCCGCTCGACAAGTCATCAAAAGCATCCTGCTCTGCTGGCCACACGTAGAAATCAATCATAAACGCCTAAAGGAGAGGCATCGAATTCAAGACAAATATCGAATAATGATCTTCACCAGGTTTTACTTATTTGGGTCTATTTTGACCACACGCGATATCGTTCATCTTGTGCTATTCATTCGCTAAAATAATTCGCTAAAATGAAATAATAAAATAAAGGAAAGAGAACCCTATTCTAAGATCTCTTATTATAATTTTCTTAGGGTTGCCTTTCCGCTTTTCTATAGAATCCCATATCATAATTCTCTAACGAGGTGAAATATTACAAAACAATTCTATTTACACGGTGATCAAGCCGTGAAATGAACAGACCAGTGTATGTGGATTGAGAGTAAGTGCCTGGGCGACAACAAAGTTTTCAGGACGATGTATCGTTCCGAACTGCCCTTGCGGCTGGAAGTCATCTTGCCCGTCAATCATTACAGCTACTTCAACAAACGGAAATCGGGCATCACCCGAATCACTGAAGTTGGACTGCTGCTCACTGTCCTCGCCCAGAGACGTTACTGATGACTGAAAAACGAATTAATCTAATTAGACTAGTCAATTATGTATATGGGGTTAATTAGGCATGTGATGTATATGGAGCAAGCTAACTGCAAAGGTAGTCGCAACTTTTTACGGTAAAAGTTCTTCAAAGCCCATTGGCCGATAACTTCTTTAATGCGTGCTCGTATTGGAAATGCGATCACGTTTAGTTCACACCGATACCAGTATATATTGACATACTTGCAGAGTGACTCCAGGCTAAAAACATGGCCAGAGGGCGTCTTAGATACGTAATAATTTTTTTTATATAAGAGTTTACGTCAGACACCGTCGCTGAGTATAGCTTCCAACTCCCTAAAGATATCCATGAGTTCTACAAAACGTATAATCCCGAAACAGCATTATGCGCGGAAACTTTAAAGAGTCTCGAATACGTAAAGTATCACTTTTTGACACGTCGCTGGGTTGGCATGAAGACAAAACACACAGTCTTAACTGATAGCACAGTCATACTTACTAGCCATTTTCGTATACCTTCATAATGTTATCTCTGCGATAAAAACCTGACCCTCATGGATAAATTTTCATCTTGTACGTCAACAACCTTTACGGCCCTTCATTAGAATTATCCTGACGATAGTCAATGTTATTGAACAGGCTTCGGTAGAATACAGCAAGATTGACAAAAATTATTATGTGGAATATATTGGTTCTCCGCACACTGATTCCACCAATATAATACGCGACAGCGTAGATATTCATATCAACTAAACCTCGGAAAACCATTCTGAAAAAATACGACAAAGCTAAGCTTGCGGGAAATCTCGTTTTCTACAGGCAAGGTCCATTGGACGATATCACGTTGAAAAAGATACCTGATGCAATTCGAATAATTGTGATCATCAACATTCTACCTACTTATATCATTGCGTCTCTTATATGGTTTAATCTTCAAAAATAGTCATTAGTCAATCAGTAATTTTTAAACATAGCCTTTGCACATTGATAATATGTCCGTCATTCTCCATAAAAAGCATCACTCATTAAAAAATGGTACCATTCGACGATTCAAGAAGGCACGCTGACATTTTAACAATGAGATTATCCTAATATCAATGTCTAGCACTCTCATCAACTGATGAGGCTAAATAAGTGGGCATTTCTTGCTTTCGATATCAACAACTTCGATGACGATTTTCTGTGGCTGCTAGTTCTGTGACCATTAGTACAGTTACTTATCAGCTTTTCCTTTTTTTTTAGCCGGCGTTACCTTGTTCCGTTTGCTTTTGAGGAGTATCCCGGGCTATTATCTTGCACTTACGTGATTGTCATCGCACTTTGTACCTGCCTCTTAAACCTGCGCTACCGTAGGCTATAGGTGATAAAAAATAAATGGTGAAAAGGAATAGAAGAGAAAAAGAAGCCTAAACGTCGAATCGCTTAGACCGCTCGAACCATATCAACCCGGAGTTGTCTCCAGCGCTACTAAAACGAAGGCACCAAAGTGATAACGATAAGATTAGATCATTTTGAGGCTTGTACCGTATCCGATCGATCTTGCCACCGTTGGTCTTGGCCCGGGCTAAAAGGGGTATTTGTTTCGCCAGATACCTTCGCTGTATTAAATGAAATCTCAAGCCAAAATGATAACAGAGCGCGGAGGTCCTAATGCTATACAAGAAATTTACACCTGCGTCGAGCTTTCTTTATCGGTGTAATGGCTAATTATTGTCAGATTTGGGTGTGCGTGTATGTTATTGTAATTAATTAAATGTATTAAAAATAATAAGATAAAGAATTATTTAAGTGCTTGGTTGAGAATTTGTTCTTGTACCAAGCAGAGATTGTTATACCCAGTTAGATGTGTATATTCCTCACATAGTAGTAGTTGTCAGCCGACTAGAGTCGCACGATCTTCCTGTATTAATTGCCTTCTCCTGAAGGTGATGAATGCATTTGTGGCGGATAACTTGATACTGGTACTTTTGCTGTTATACTCTGAGGACTCACCCTTAAGATTTTGACTGATCAAGATTCTACTTACGTTTGGTTCACGAAGTGCGCTCATCTTTCGTGCCAGATCGATAGGCGAGACGCGGTACGAGATACGAGCCGAACGGAATTTCTTCTTCCAAATTGAGACAGGGTTGTCGAAGAACTTCAGCTGCACCAAGCTCTCGTGGGTCAGCCAGCCCCTCTGTACCTGTTCCGAACCATCTGTACACACAAACACACTTTGTCGCAGTTGCATGGTCATCAGCGACGGAGCATCGGTTCACATCATGCTCAGTCGTTTAGACACCCCGATAACACTCTGCAACCTAGCCAAGGAGGGGGGCCATCGACCCTAAGGCCCTAACGGCCAGCACCCCTCAACTCCTTGTGCTTGAACACAAATCAGCATCTTAACACCATCCCGAAGCTTATATCAGCATCTTTTTTCTCTGCAGAAGACCGATTGTTGGCGTGAGCCAGTAGCATTGTCGAGCGAGTCTGAGCGATGCTAACTTCTGATTACGCTGTCAACCATTTTTCTGTCGTACATTTTGCGCTCAATCCACGGCGCATAGGGCCGGCAGTCTGATCGAGTCGATCAGCCCCGATTCGTGTACGACGTGGTTGACTGATGTTGTACGCAGACCCCGAAGCATGTACGCCGACGGTCGTTGATGCATGTTTTCGCAACGACCTCACAAACCCTGGCACCAGTCACGTGAGGGGGTAGAAAAGTACGCTTTTGAGAACAAGACGGAACAAAACCCACAGAACCGGTGCGAAGAATACAATGCAGATAAATTGTGGCTATACGGCAATAAACGTGAGTCTGTTTAAAAATGCTAGTCAGCAACTGAAAAAGGAGAGTTAAAGTGGTATTCTCTACGACAGTGAAGGAAAGCACCGTTCCTGTTGGACTCATGGCGGTTGTTACGAAGGCGATCGGAAGAAAACATGTCGAGGGAAGTCAGCAAAAACATACTGAAGAACGAGTCAGCCCACAACAGAAATTTATTGGTAAGAGGCTATTGGTTACGACAGCGCTGCCACGGGCAGCTGCCCAAGTAGTTGACGGCTATACCGTATTCCTACGGTGACTCGATGGCGAATATCACTGTTGGCCTATGAGAGGTTACATTGTTCGACTTGGTTTTTGCCGAACTTAATCTGTTGCTTGTCCAACTGTCAAATCGACTCCTGAAGCCACGTTCTTTTTATGTCGGCTCACTGAATGTTGCTGTTAGACTCTACTAAGGTTTTGGTTTGCTGATAGTGTTCACAAGTGTTACGTTATACTTTAAGCTATGCGCACGAAGGGCATTGGAGCTGCTTTAGAATGCGCGTTCGTTCAGCAGAAAAGCGCTATTGATATGAGAAGTGAGGCACTGACACAAAGAAACAACAAAGAGCAATAGAGGGATAAATGTGTTTGCTAAAGCAGTTTAATAGGGAATATTCAAACTCATTTAAGTTCAAATACATGACCTACTATGAGAATGTTTTGATCTAATCGTATTAGCCTTAGTATCTCCGAATTATGGAAACTTACCGTAACTGCCGAAAATATCGATGGCGGCATTCCGGTCAATGGTGAGCTCGTTAGCTGAGATACTTCGGGGGTGAACAATAGTTTCCCAGCGACGAACTATTCTCTCACCCCCCTCCAGAACGTAGCAGATAAGGTACCGGAAATCTACAGACTGCTGTGTTGGCACCTGAACCTTTACCGACCATAGATGACTACAAAGTGCCACAAATAAAAACCTACTTTCAGGAACTAGAATAAAACACTTACAGATAACACATAACAGCCATGCAATGAAAAGGTGCTCGTATTACGTCTGATTTCATAGCTTTCTAATGCGGCAGTCTAAGTTGTGTTGTACTGAGCGTGCAGTACCTATAATGTAAGCCTGTGTCCGTTCTTAAATTCATCCCAGCAATTACTACATCAAAGCCCAGAGCGTCAACTCTTCATAACCCAAAACCTTCATCTTCCTCGTTGCCTTTGAAAATTTCGTCTTTTCAAATTTTTTGAGGACCTTGGTTATCAATTATCCACTTCGATCGGATCCCTTCGACTTATTCACTTGTTTAGCATAGCAATGTCTATTAAGAAGTAAATTGATGCGTAATCTATTATTTGTGTATTTGGCAAGCTACTGAAGTTATCGTTATTCTCGGTGAAAGTATTTACCTGGTCGGGTCTTCCAATGTCATGGCGGGAGCATCGTCAACACACCAACATCCGAGTGCCGGAATACTTCCGCACACCCAGACCGACTCACCGGCAGTTGTCGACGCCTGCACACGCAGGACGAGCTCGCGTTGGGTTAGCATCTAATAGGACCAAATACAAAAGTAAAAAAGGTTTCCAAGGTTAAATTAAAATGTGTTGCTTGTCCTTTCTTTATTATTAGGCTAGAACCAAGTATAAGTATAATAAACAATGGGTGAGAATATACATTTCCTCAGGTACTCTTTCAGTCTTGTTCGAACTTCTCATGGTCGATCCAAGGCCTAAGGGTTAGTAAGTACTAATGCTAAATGGTTGATTCGTATATTTTCTTGCATTGCTATTAATGCTCTTTTTTTGCAATGCTATTAAAACTCACTCTAGAACATAGTTCTGCGAATACACTGGAACACGTTTTCGATTAATGCAGCAAAGTAAACTCGTACGAAGCGTCCTATATCAGTAAAAAAAATCGACTTGGTCGGTGCGGTATTTTGTCAGTCCGGCGTCAATGGAGCTAGCTTCACCTCAGAGCTGGGGCATTTTTACTTGTTGACTCCTAACTATTACGAGAAGAACCAGAAGGAGTTTCTCATATTTTTAGCATCTACACATGTATGTGTATTCACCAATGAATTTGTTTTCCTATTTTGCATTGTATTATTTTGTAGTTCCAAAGCTACTAGGTGACACGTAGCAAATTAGGAAAATTGTTGCCTTCGACTACATGCATAGACAAAGGGGCTGGAATAATTGCCAGCTCACACACCCAAGGCTGTAAGTGCATGCACAAGTATCTGTACAGCTATCGTTGACTGTTCAGCTACTCGTATAACACTATGTTACCCGGATAATTCATGTATCAATATCCTTGCTTACGTATGCCATCCGTAAAGTTCATGCATTATCTCGTCCGAGTGAGATCGACCTCTAAAGCTTCAGGCATCTTCACAGATAGAGATTTCAGATGTATAACTTTTTTTTTCTACAAAACCCTATTAGTGTCCAACGATAGCATCTTTTTGTCGTGCCTAAGACAATGTAGAGCTGTTAGCCGTGTGCCAGTACACACCTGTCGTGCATTCATCTACAACATTAATGGCTCCCTGACCACACTCAAAAAGTACACTCACTGGAAAACTTTTACGGGCCATATAGAGCACTCATCCGGATTCAAAGAGAAAAAAACACTCGCGACAGACTCACACACCTCGAACATTATCATCTTTGTCGACCCAGAGCTACCATAGAACCTATGAGGTGAAATGAACATGAATCTATGTCGCGCTTCGTACACATCGTTTACTCGAAAGCCGCTGTAAGAGTAGTTGGCTGGTTTGTAATAGTACCGGGCATCCAGCGCCGATCAACGAACGCAGCTAGCTGAATGATGATCGCTTGAGCATTTCTGGGAACGGCAGGTTGGAACGGTTTTCTGTCGGTTACATGCATTGGCAAGAAGCGGACGGTCATTTGCATCTTGCTAAGAAGCAACGGCGCCGTTGGTAGAGGTTGCAGCAGATAAAAAGACGATGCCAGCGAACAACAAGAAGCAAGAAATCAGGCTTGTTCGCGTTCTCTTTCAGAAAGTGTGCCAAACGAGGGCTTTCGAAATCGGAAATGGAAGATGTTGTTTAGGTTGTCTAGGCACGTGCGTTTTAGCATGCATATGTTAAACAACCCATTTAAACCGGCGAGCACTTAGACCGATGAGGTCGTACTCTTGAGTCGGTTCCAGTTTATTTCACATCGCTGACTTCACAAACGTGGCACTCAAAGCTCGTCTATCAGCTCATCAGAAGCTCACCACATTAGGTGGTCAGAGGTGTGGTTCACTGATGACGCGATAATCGCGCAAAAATACGTGTCCGAGCAAGTAGGTATGCGACATCAGAACGTTGTCTATTTATTGACAAAAACACCATCTAGTGCAACGCGCTGACTGTTGTCGCAGCTGATAGACCCAATATCAATTGAAATTCGCGGCTCATAAACCCGATATCAATTGAAATTCAATGAACAGATGCAGTAATTAGATTGATAAATACAGTGGCCATCTGTGAGAATTACTATAATCTAGCTAGCACGTTAAGTGGCTCTAGCTGGCTTCGCTAGATTGCATAACGCGCGGATGTTATCAATAGGATTTTACCTGAGCCCTGCCACTTGCTTTTAGAAAGGCAAATGTCATTCCTGTCGAACGTCAAAGATAAAATCAATCTGAATCACTCGAAAGAATAACGTGGTCGCAATTCAGTACGGGTACTTGTCAAATCTAGATTCCGTATGCGGCGCTTTATGCGCATGGAACTTGCATGTAGCCTCGTTACAGTTAAGTCCAAAAAGTAGTAGCAAAATCGATATGTTAGTTCTACTAATGACTGGCATACTGATTACTTTCTGCCCCAAGGCGTCACCAAATAAGAACAAAGAAACCTACGAAACATAGGAATCGCTTCGAAAAATGAAAGAGCTGTCATTCGTTGGTACTAATCGAACTTTAGTGGAATTTCGAGAATGATCCGGCTAAGCGCTTGTAATTCACCGGTTGGCAGACGAGACCTCAGGCCGATTAACTCAAAATCCTAAACCAATCAACTCTGCAGATAACAATCCTACATAACATGAACCTACATCCACAACAACGGTGTACGTCTGTCAGTGCTTAGTTCGGTATTGTTCCTTCATATTGGTATAGTAAAACTGTCACATGATCGCCACAAGGTGTCTGCATCAAATCACATACAGCGGGGCGCAATGATAGGGAAAAATTAGGGGAATCGCACATGTACTATTAGGACTGCTTCAACTTAACCGGAAGTCTTGCGTGTCGCATAAATAAACGTAATTGGTTCAAACATTTAAAAAATAATTGTTGATGGCAACACATAATGATATGGTTACCTTTTCTATACTCAAACCTGGGCCAAGGTATCGTTTTCATTTTCCTCCTGCCTAGCGCCTGGTTACAGGATGGTAAACGACTGAACGTACCGTTACGCCGTTAGGTGTTTTCGTTGTTTTGATCGCTTTTAGACAAATTATCGACAATTAGACCTCTGTTCAATAATCAAGGTCAAACTAGAAGCTTGATCACTATATGTGGTCGTTGTAGCACATACAAAGGCTTTCTGGATCATGAGGTTATACACGTCATGGCACAATATCAAATTCTGTGAAACACCTCTTCTATACCGATAACAGATAGCGGTCCAACGAAACAGTCTTACCTAGGTCCTACCGATCAGCTTTTTGCTGCTCCAGCAGGCAAAAAGAAAAACTACCACCTATGGCGAGCCACGCGCAATGCTGACGCATTCAAGGGTTCACAACAAACAACCCATGATGGCTGCAGAACAAATGAAAACTTGCCAATGTTATCCTTTACCAAATAAATAAAGAAAATTCTATACCCTTGCTATGGTTGGTGTCGAGTTAAGCATTCACAAAACCAACAACCGTTGGTATATAGCGAAAACCAGCTGGAAGGTTGGCGGCTCTGTGAGCTGAGTTTGGTCGAACGGCGACTTGTGCGAGCTCTCACTCGACTCTGTTTAAGGCCTGCTTGTTGCTTTTGCTGCTCGCCGCGGAGGCCGCGGCTCATCGGTGCACTACGCAAACTACTCCCTCGCCACGATAAGAAAGAACATGGCCGATGATGATGATGATGATATTATATCGATCGAAAAGGGCAAAGAAATAGAATGAGGGTAAAAATTTTCTCCAACAATCGTCTCATTAAAACAGAATTAACTTCCAATTAATCAATCAACTAGACATGACAGTTACTTGCTTACCACCTGTTGTAATAGTAGTTTAAACATACAGAGCCAGTCAATGGTAGAGCAGGTTTAATATCAATCGATCTGACGATTAGCATGAGGCCTTAAAGAAATGTTGCGTCAGAAGAAACTGCGTTGTAGCGAAGTATCATCATATCGATGAATTTTGACTGCGATTATTATTATCTGGCTAGAAGTTACGTTTCGTTCTTCACTTCTAAGACGCTGTTATAGAGAATGGTTGTATCGAAGCCTGCTGCCACGCTGTGTATGTGATGAGCTACCAGTTCGCGGGTGTGAATTTGAATTATTATGGGCAATTAAAACTCTAATAATGGCAAAACCATCCCCATTATCGAAATGGGCACACACACAATACTGACAACGTCGTTCTAGGAGGCTGTCTTTCGTGTTTCTTTGTGTGGAGCCGCGCTCGAAGAGCTATTTCTGACAAGCCTAGCTACTTCGTCCATATTAAGCTTATTTCCTGTAATCGACAATTTCCTCTCCTATCGTTTCAATTAAATCGAACAATAACAGCAACATTGCCAATGTTGAGCTACTTCTTGCATGCGATGATCTTTTCCATCAATAACCTGATAATCTGC